TCACCGGTTCCTTGTCATAGCATACACTGGCAAAAAGAAACGCAAGAAGTATCTCAGTCAGTGAGAGCAAGACAGGTACGTTTAGTGATTGGTGACTTAAAGGAGTTGATAACCTTTGTCCAAAGGGAAAAAAAAAATCAGAGGGTCTGACACAGTCTGTCCGATTTAATATACTAGTCTGGAAAGAAGCACTTTCATTCATTCAGAGCTTTGCATTATCCACGTTAGTCCCGTACCCACATGTATCAGCATCCCCACCAAGCGCAGACCGCTGGAAATTTTCTGTATGGAATTGTTCTCTTTGGAGAAAGTCAACAACCCAGAGCCCACCCAGCCTGAAGACGCTGCAGGGGCTTGCTGGCTGTTCCATATGTTCCATCGACTTGAGGTTTAAGCTATTCCAGTTCAGTTACAGAAGGAACCGGCAGGATCTCTTACTGAAGTGTGGCCACAGACAGAGCACATACTTCTCCGTTGGAAAAAGGATTAACCGTTGATCGCTTGATTTGCCCATAACTCACAAAGGAAGACAACTCCCAGCAGGTCCGATCTGTGGGTCTGATCAACAGACCCTTGTTATTAAAAGGGGCAAAAGGAAGACTCCTGGCTGGAATTTCACTTATTTAAAATGAATATAAGTAGAAGAATGACAGTGGGAGGAAAGGGATACCAGACTCAGCCCATGATCGGGCAACCCATATGAAGAATATCACAGTTAAAGAAGTCCAGACAATCAAGCAGAAATATTCAGTGTCAACTGTCTTGGGACAAAAGGAAATCCTCGACTGCCTTTGTTTGCCCAGCTTATTTTCAAACGAGTTCCTTCAGCAGTGTGTATGCGCAAGACTCAATTTGGGACACGCTGCAGCTGTGCGTTGGGCTTTCTCTTCCCAGACACTGTCTAGAGGGTTTACTGCCACCCGAGGATAATTTACTGACCCGGAACAGGCTGACCGTTGCCCGAGGCTTTACGGCTTTTCAGATGTCCGCCTGTGACACTCACTGTAATTGGGATTCTCAGAATTATTTGCTACTTTCTGATAATTAGCAGATTAAAGATCGCTCTGGGCCATAGGGGAGGGAGAGCTTGTGGAGGGAAACCGGAGCATGGATGTCTGAGGACTTCCAAAAAATTATTTGGGGCTGAGCACCTGAATTCCATCGCTTTTGGAGAGGAACTGGACAACTCACTGCCCTTCATACCTATGTGAATTCTTAATATGCATTTGAGAGTTCACATCTGCCTCTCCTTTTATGAGGCAACTTTCAGGTTTAAGGACAGATGTCTTGGTGATAGATTTGACGCTATAATCTGGCAAGGGGAAATGAAGCTTTTCCTTACTCAGGAACCAGTTTTATAGCACAAGTAGGAAGCCTCTAAACTTTATCACAAAAAAAGTGATTTGGAATAGGTAAACAAATGTCCACATCCAGCTATAAACCCAACTACTGAAAACCATCAAGGGATTTTGTTGTCACTTTAGAAGCTGCTCTGCAGTAAAGAGCCACATACAAAAAAACTCAAGCTATTAAAGGACGGGTGTACAGAGAAGTATGTGCCTGAAGATTAATGCTGTAGAGTCAAAGAAAAGCTGTTATTTTTGACATTTTGACATAGCATCACTTTAGGATCTGGTTCTTATTAGCCCTTTCTGTGCCTTTTAAAGGTCTTTTTTTTTTTTTTTTAAACCAAAAATGTCAGGAAATTTGGAACAGAAACTTACAATAAAACACGTCCCTTGACCCTCTCATCTATCAATCTTTCAAATAAACAAAGATAGCTGGATGAGCCAGGAAAAGGTTATTATATATAGTTACCTTATGTTTAATGGTCAGATATCCACTGCACACACTGAGTTTATATAAAAAAATCCAACCTAAGTGAAGCATTTTGTGAAAGATTTTTGCCATGAATGCCCAACGTTACTTGGGGTGGTTTCCTTCTCAGGTTGTGTTCTGTGACCTTCAAATTTCACACCCTGTATTATTTATAAATGAGACATTCAAGAAACACAAATTCTCAAATAAAAACTTACACTCCGTCAGTGGAAAAGCAAACAAAAGGAGCTAATGTACTGTGGCTAAAAAAATTTTCAAACAAAGTAGCAGTAATTTACTGCCTCGCTACTAACAGGACCCCACAAATAGAATCAGAATCCTGAGCCCCATCAGGGGAGTTTGATTTACCGAATATCCCCCAGATAATAAAGGAAAATAAAAAGGTAAATTGTGCATGAATGTGAAAGCTGTAATTCTTCCCCTTTCACCACGCGTATCAAATTCACATCCAGTGATTTCAAAAGAAAATCTGGAAATCTCTAAAGAACTGGGGCTAAAGTTAGGAGGCCTCGATCCACCTGGCTTTCTCCATGTTTGGTTTTGTTTATGTTTTTTAAGATGTAGTTTGCCTAAGAGTCAAATTCTCCCTGGGACACCAGAAAGATTTTCCCTATAAGAACTCGTAGCCGAGTCATTTCCCTGCCGGGAAAGCCTTGCCAAGGCGACAGCTTTAGCCTGGATTCATCAGTAGGGACGGCAAGGCTTGCTTCTCCCCTCGGGAAGCCCCCAGACCCACCGGGTCCATCACCAGCGTGTACCCACCGGGATGTCCCGCAGCCCCGTCTGCGCTCCGTGGCCTCTTCTTGCGCTGTAGCTGCCGTCCAGCCCACCCTGCCAGGGGATGTTCTGCCACACAAGGATCTCCAAGAAGGTAATGACACGCAGTCCCATGCACAGGGTACTGGAGCAAATACTGCAGTTCTGCAATCCTTTGTTTTGGCATTCCCCAGTTATTTTCTGCTGTGGATCCTCAGACCATCCCAGGGGAGGGATGCTTGCTATAGGTGATCCTTGTAGTGCTATGCCTTTGAATACTTGAGGATAAATCCCAGCTTAACCTTAAACTGCTGACTGATTTGAGGTGCGTTTTGTAAAATCCTGACCCTTGCTGCCAAACTCTCCAGGGAAGGTTTGCTTTCTGCACAACACCTGGAGCACCACGAGACTGCTAAGTGCTGCCGCAGCAGCGACCACAAGTTCTACGCCACGCAGAGAGGCTGTGAGCGGTGGGGAGCTCGAAGCCCGGGCTCGGGATCACGGATCTCTGGATATGAAAATGGTTCCCAAGCCCTGACTCATTCTAACGTTTTATACTTGCTTGCCAAAGCAGATAAGCCATGAGAAGGGAAAGGAAAATAGGCAGTATCTGCAAAAACCCACGGCCAGGACACATCCCTGTGCCCGGTCAGGGAGCTGCTGTGATGAAACGAGCTCCCGGGGAGGCTGCAGGTGGGCACGGGGAGACCGCGGAGGGCCTGGTCAGGGGAAGCCACGGAGACAGC